AACATTGTTCTCGATGAACTGCCACTGCCTACAAAGAAACAAGAAGCGAAGTTAACGAAAAACGAACATGAAGATAGTACTAACAAAATAGTTTTAAAAGCTCACCTGATTCAAAGCCTGCCGCACTCCGTGAAAAAGATCCGATTCATCACTAGCACCGGCAACGTCCTCAATGTCGGTAAATAGGTCATGAAAGGGATCTTCTTCATCGTGAGGCCTGTCTAGATCAAGGGCTCCCAGAGCTTGAGCTTCCCGAATCACCCCTGTGGAAAAAACGGGAAAGGTAGGCGAATCCTCGACTGCTGCTGCCCCAAATGGCTCGTCTGGAGCGTTCCCCTCGGTTCGAAGGGGTTCGAGGGGCTCTTCGATCATATCCCCTTCCGGTTGACTCCGGTGAGATGCGTCTTCGATATCCGATAGTTCGGGGACTTTACCCGGCGATGAGGAATCAATGGTTCTCTTCGTTCGGACCGCGAGAGCGTACTCATCGTTCTCTTCTTCTTCTTCATCATCTTTATCCCTTAGACGCAGAACAGATTCCACGGTCAAATGAATGACATTCTTGTTTGGCTTACGAGCCGTCCACTTCTTCGGTTTTGGATATTCGGGAACCGAGGCTCTCTTCCTTTTATTTTCCTTCACCGGCTTGGGGACAGAGGCCGAAATTCCCTCATCATTGGGCAAGGGCCTCAAAACCACATCTTTACCCAAACCTGCATATGGGAAGCCTTAATAAAATATTTTAAAAACCACCTCGTTCGGATCATCAAAGAGTCCGAGAAATGGGCTTACCGTGATTTTTGGCCTCTTACCGACCCTTTAACAAATCACGCCATGAGCGCTTGACGTATGTGGAGGTCGAAACAAGGGCTCATACCAGTTCTTAAGATCGGGGATTGCTCCGGGCATCCAGGGAACCGCTACATCAAGAAGAAGGGGGAGTGTCGATGAGAGAATAAATGAAAGAAGAAAATAGAAGTAACAGCAAGATCACACTTACGTTTCATATTCCACTCCTCGGGAAAGGGCATATTTTCAGTTGGGATCAGGTCCTAAGTCCTTACTCGAACCAACCTGCCCATCCAACCCCGGTCCCTGTCCTCGTCAATACTCGAGAACAGAGCCTTGGTAGCCCGACGCTAGAGTTTTATTAACCCCCCTCGAAAAAGTCAAGGACGGTACAATCGGAAAAGATGATCGAGGGTGAACGACATCCCCTCGATCTTGCTCACAAAATATCGGATTAGGATAACGATCCGCCACAAAGAAGGATGGACCTGGCCTAGGGTTACTTGGTATTGTCGATAGAAGTCAATAATAACAGAATCAAAGGGACCCAAAGTGAAAGGGTAAGTATACACCTTCAAAAACCTTTTCACGTAAGAAGTGATATCTTCATCGGGCGTAGGAATTATTATTTCTTTCTCACCCCAATTGTAATCTTTCTTTAGCTGTTCGAGGTACTTTTCGGTTATCGAACACATGTACCTCGATACATGCTCACACCGGCCAGGGACCGATGAACCTTTATCGACCTTAAAATATGAAGTAAGGACACACGCCCCGGGAACACACTCCTCAGGCCGTGGTTCTGCCGGTGTCTCATCGGCGGCACATTGTGAAGATGAAGCTTTCTCTTTCTGAGGAATGGTTTGCGATGTTTTCGCCATTTTAGAATTCAAAGGTGGGGAGTAGAAGAAAGGGACAAATATCTGGTAGAATTGAAGAGGGATTTTTTGCGGAAAGAAATCATAGATTTACTGGTAAGATGGAGAGTACGAAGAAGAACTTGGGAAATTTGGAAGATAGAAGATGTAAAAATGGTAAAAGATAAAAGAAAGGGTTATTTATAGGTCCAAGCGATGGCGGTTCAATATCAACAGTGGCCGACCACCGCCTGACATGCGTTAAATGCCTTGAAAGACTAAACCGACGGGACAACTACCAGATGCATCATGGTCGAACCCGATGGAAACGACAAGATACAATCCGATCGAGCTGTTAAAAAATCATATCGTTTCTCGCCACATTCTTTCTGAGAAACGAGGGGACTATCTGTATACGGTCGAAATAGGTTTCGGCCTTAGCACGTCCTATCGAGTTCAAACGATGATTTATCAAAGTGAGATCCCGAAGGTGGAGCAAACTATCCTCGACCCTGGGGAGGGTGATCCGGGTCAAATTCGATATCATTACCAAGCTCGAATAAAAATCTACCATGTTGACAATCCAGAGACCAACCAACATTGACCTCGAATCAATTCGAGGGCTCGAGCCAGGATCGGACTCGAACCAAGATCATGAGTTCGAGCCGAAATCAAGCTCAAACCAAAATCGAGGGTTCTAAGCAAGATCGAGCTCACAGACAAAAGCCGTTGCAATCCCACTAGAGAGAATCTTGGTAGAAATTATGGAAAAACTGACTTATCATGGGTCTCCCACTGAATGTTTATTTTATTATGCTTAGAGCTAAATCCCTCCACTATAAAAGGGCTTGGTTACTATTTCTGGAAGACAAGTTTTTCCAAGGCTTACATTGTGATAAAATGGTTATATTCTTCTACAGAAAAGAACCGTTCTTTCAGATTTCTTAGATTGATTCTATTTATTGAATCCTAAGATTCATTGTTCCTGATAACCTTATCTATTATAGCATTCTCCCCCGTCTATATTTACACTTTTTATTTATCCTTGCATTTTGTGTTAAGTTATGCCACATATCCTCGGAACTATGTATAAATTCAACTCTATCCATTTTTCGGATAAACAAGTACATCTAATCATTTTTCCAAAAAGAAGTCTAGAAAAAAGAGTCTTACTCAAATTCATACATCGTGATTCGTGTGTAGTAGACTCATTAATATCGTTAAACTGAATGTTTGGTTGTGGTTATATGTAAGTCACTTGACAATCGGACATAAGCCTCTGGAGCAACAACAACAAAGTTAAATAAACAGCAAATTTCTTGTTTGTCTAGAACGTGGAAGACAATCGTATAAAAGCCAATTTGCATACTAAAGATACCATGCAATATATTGTTGATAACAACATATCGAAATTGGAAGACCACTATGTGCGTTTTAGAAGTAAATATAAAGCCAAAATTATAAATCTAATCTTTTTCGCCAAATAGTTAATAAAACGCCTACTCTATGGCCGACCATCCCCCTACCACAAAATAAGAAAAAAAGGGTCTATTTCCTCACATGAGGGAGCTATTTTTAAAATTAAGTCTAGAGCATCTGTTTAAATCATCTTATTAACATATTAAGACTACCATTTCCGGAAACTTCATTGTTTTATAGTAGCCAACGAAGAGATCTATTAAATCCAATCAATATACCTGGTTAAAGCAAAAGAAAATGTTAAGCTCGCAGTGAAATGTCATTTAATTGATCTAATTAATGGCTATTACCGTCAAGTTATAATTTAACTTGTTATAAATAACAGATCAGTTATTATTGTTTCATGTTAATGATTAATACTTAGTGACCTGATTATTAGTACAAATATAAAAATTAAACTCAATTTAAATTGGATGGTATTCATAAGTGCCACCTTAAGGAATCATGGACATAGGATTGAGTATAAGCATTATTATACCTATAAATTCATCTCATCCTAAAACATATACCAATATTTGTCTTGTACAAAGACAAAGTCCTTACATGTCAACATGAAATGCATTTGCGTACATAAAATAATGTTAAAAACATTTCAGTACAATATGTGTGTGGGGTGCGTGTTGAAGAGGACAGGGCCCTCATTGCACTAATTTACGTATAGGACATAATATCACATCTCTCCAACCATCTGATTATATTGGTAAAATTATCATAAGTAAAAATCAATCAAATAACACTACCTAGCAGGTGCAGTTAATTAATTTCTCACTAAGGCAATTTTCTGTATCATCATCTTTCAAAGGGTCCAATTTCACACTAAGGCAATTTAGGACCAATTTGTTCATAGATAATTTTTTTTTTTTTTCGATTTTTTTTAATAACGTGTTTGTCCATGAAATTTTGTAAGTTTTTGGAAAAACATTTTTTTCAAAATTTTTTAGAAGAACTTTTTTCCCCACTCACAAAACTACAACATTTTTATAAGTAAAATACATGTCCAAACATAATTTCAAATTTCAAATACTTTTTTTCAAACTTAACTCAAAAAATTATTTTTTTCAAAAATCATCTTTCAAAGGTCACTTCTGACATGAATATTATAGGACCACAAACAACAGGTCCACATTCCATTTTTTCCTCAACACACCTCAATTTTATCAGTTTAAATGATCACCTACACCATTTACACCAACCAAAATAGTACTTCTCTTCCTACTCTTCCTTTGCAATTATTCATCTAACTTTATCAACCCCACAAGTACGTTTTTAGCTTTCTTTTGCTCATATATCTCTTTGCAATTATGCAAATATAATGAGTCATTCATCTTAAGGTGTATACAATAGCTCCACAAAAAACATGATAATTGAAGATAGCCAAATTAAAGACCAACATGTGCAAGATAATAACCATGGGAGTAACAATAGTTCAGGTACGAATTCAGATGAACTCAGTTTTCGAAACCTGTCAAAGCTCATTCTACCTCCTCTTGGTTCCAATGATTACAACCAGAATCAAACTCAGCAGAAAGGCAAGATCATCACCCCTATGGATTCAAGATACAGGTTAGTACAAGTAACGAGTTTAACTTCTATACATCGAGTATAGTGAATAAAATATTTACTCTTTCAGATCACCTACCAACAATGGTGCAGCTAGAAAATTTAAAAAGGGTATTCAAATTTTGAAGACCCTTTGCTAGTGGGCTATGTAAGGGCGTTCAAAGTCTATTTTTTTTTTATCAATGACAAATATTATTTTATCCTATATATAGTATAATTTTTCGGGAAGGGTATTCAGTTGACCATCTTTGACCACACATAACTTCGCCCCTCCCTACCAAGTGGACAAAACTCATTTCTACCCATTGTAGACCGATATATTTTTTTAAAAAAGGGAGTGGCAAGCTAAGAAGAAAGAAAAGAGAAGGGAATTGAAGTTGTATAGATGTATTAAACGTCTAGTCTCACTTCTTGCAAAAATAGCACGTACCAACTATATTAAAATTTAACTTTTCTAGAGCAATAACTTAATTTAATCCTAATAAAAACTTCTTATTTCCCCCTCTGGAAAAGCCTCTATTCCCAAGCCGCTTTATTAATTAAGATTGGGCAAGTCGCTTTTTATGCAACACTACTATGGTGAAGAATGAATCAATTGAGAATCTTTTCATTGAGATTTATTACTTGAATCAACTTGGCGACTTTTTAAATTTAGGTGCTACTAATTATTTCAAGAATCTCGTTACAAGATTCAAAGGTACTTATAGCCTGTTTGGCAAAACTTCTAAAATCTGCTTATTTTGAGAAACGTTTTTTTTAAAAGTGCTTTTCAAAAAAGTACTTTTGGTGAGAATCGGTTTGTGTTTGGCTAATTAATTTGAAAAATACTTTTGAGCAGTAAATAATGTCTGGCCAAGCTTTTGAAAACTGCTTCTAAGTGTATTTTTCTCAAAAGTACTTCTTAGAAAAGTGGGAGAGAAGTTTCATTTTTCTGCTTTTCAAAATCTGCTTATGCTTCTCCTCAAAAATACTTTTTTTTTCTAAAAACATGGTCAAACAGGCTATTGATGTTAAATATCATGTCAGACATCATTAGTTACATTGATTAAAATGACCGTGATCCTAAGGTAAATTAATTTTACCGTGCATCCAACAATATAGTGGAGATATAAATTCCGTAAGGACAATGATTATACTATTAAAATTTATATTGTTTTTGTATATATGCAGGTGTTGGGAGACGCTAATGGTAGTAATGGTGGCGTATTCTGCATGGGTATGTCCATTTGAGATAGCATTCATGCACTCCAACCCAAACAGAGCGCTCTACTTCGCAGACAACGTTGTTGATCTCTTCTTTGCTGTTGATATCATCTTGACATTCTTTGTTGCCTATATTGATACTACTACTCAGCTTCTCGTACGTGACAGGAGAAGAATTGCTACAAGGTATGTATTCTTACACGATTTAAGTGATATATACTTACAAAATATAAATATTTTTTTATACTATCAACAACATAATGTAACATGTGATAGCAGAATAAAAGTTTAAATTTCTTAAGGTGACAGTGCATAGACTTTTTATGCCATCAGATAAAGTTGACATGCGATATCAGACAACTTCTTTTAGCAAATTTGATATAGTAACCTGAAGAATACAGTATTAACGTAACATGGGATTAAGTTATACTGATAACAACTTTTTTATAAAGTTGTTTGTTAAGCATTTTTCATGCCATTTTGTTTGTCAAACGGCAAAACGTCGGTTGGCTACATAACAAAAGTCTTAACCTAGCTAGCTACCGAGTATCACCCACAAAGAAAAAGCACTTAATTAAGGATAACTCAATCATTAGGAAAATAATTGCTTTTTTTATATTAACCGCATTAAGCAAATCTAAAGGCTTTGTGGGTCCAAGTATACCTCTAGAATGCATTTTTAACTTCGTGGGATTAAAATGACCAATCATATACAGATTCGTTGCTATATATTATGATCACACATATCTATCATTGTCGTGTACTCAAATGATGCACACAGAGAATCCTCTTATCCTCAGGTTTTATTTTCTCCTTTGGGTTAACTCTATAGAATCAGAAAACTAGATTATTCGAATATATTCAAGAACAGAAAGAAAGGTTATTTTGTCTTGCACAATTTAAATAATTAATTGACCCGTCTTCTTTTTCTTTCTTTTTTTTAAGGTAAAAAAAAACGTATAAAGCAACGTGAATTTTTAATTCTACAAAGATAGATATTATTCCTTATCACACAAATGAAACTTGAGATGGCAAGCAGATTTGGTCCCCTTACCTTTTTTCTTCATTTGCCAACATTTGGTTGTTCAATGATCACAAGATATAAAAATCTATATATATATATATATATATATATATATATATATATATATATATATATATATATATTCCTTTGTTCTCTAACAATTTGACTCGATATTTTAATTTAGTTAGATCCTCCCCCACCACACGCCCACCCCAACACAGACTAAATATACAAAAAGAGTTAACAATAAACAATTCACAACCCACTTTTGTTTCCACTTTGAAAATTTAGAATAATCTTGTGGCTATACAAGAAGAAAGGTGGTATGAAATAATTTCAAAAATAATCTTCCAGCAATATAGCAAGCACCAATATGAGCCATATGGCATATGCCAATTGCCAAAGCCTCTACTTTTTGGCCAAAGTTTGACCTTACAAATAGTCCACTAATAACGCTTTAGAGCATTTTACGATTTTTAAATTTCACTTTATATATATATATATTCAGTTTAGATTGAAGAACAGAGTTGAAGAGTCGAAAGATCTTGATATTAAAGTTCCCCATTTTAAATTCATAAGTTATTTTGCCATAAAGTGACATAATAATTTAAAGAAAAAATGTAAAAGAAGGGAAAAAACACGCAGTTTATTGTTTTACAAAAAAAATAAAAACTTTAACTTCGCACTACTTTTAGTTTTACTCAAATGTAATCGAACAATTCGTTTAATCACTCAATTATGAAGGAAGTATTCTTCCTTTTACTTGAATTGCCTTATCTAAGAATAATGATAAAACAATAGAGCATATATTGTTGGTGATATTAAAATCTACGGTTTAGTGATAACCATTTTTGTAAGACATACGTGTAGAAATGACACCCGGTAGCACTTTATAGAGCTGTATTTAGGAATTAGCCAGTGCGTCCTGCATTTTAGTTTTCTAGTTCAAATTTTCAGGACAAAAATATTCCGAATTGTCTTGAAGTTAAGATTTTTAATTTAAAATTTCAGGACAAAATAAGTATTGACTAATCTCTAAATAGCATCCCTCAGAATGACTATCTGTGCACTTGTCCCGATATACGTTATCTATTTATTGGATAATTGGATTGATGTTATATATTCGTACAGGTAAATATTTACCATTTTACGGAGTGACTACGTGTGGTTCGAATTTTAATACTATCCCTTTTCATTTTCTCTTTTCATGGTCCTCCTATGTTAAAAAAAGAAGTGTAAAGTAGTATTGCTATAAGTTTTGCATTATAGCATGTAGTTAGAGTTTTTCTTTTACAAGCAAGTGGATTGTCAATTATATGATTGATAATGATGATAATAATACAGATATATATCTACATGGTTTATGATGGATGTTGCCTCAACCATACCATTCGACCTTCTTGCCTTGATTTTCACTGGCAAACACCAAATTGGTATTTCTTACTCAGTTCTAGGAATGCTCAGGTTTTGGCGTCTTCGCAGGGTTAAACAGTTTTTTACCAGGTCTGTTTTCTTTCATTTCTCATTGTTATTATAATGTATTATTTAGATGGCACTTGACATATTAAGACTCATATAACTATTTTAAAACAATTAAACTCTCTTTTATTTATTGCTGACAGACTTGAAAAGGACATGAGATTCAGCTATTTTTGGGTCAGATGTGCCAGGCTTCTATTTGTAAGTACTAAAAGAAAAAGGATTTAACTTATATAAAGTGACAATGTAAATTCTTTTTTTAACACTATTAGTATGGTTATTTGTGTGTGACCTATAAGTCAGGGACTCGAGCTGTGGAAACAGCCACTGATGCTTGCATTAGGGTAGACTATCTACACCACACTCCTTGGGGTGTGGTCCTTCCCGGGCCATGCGTGAATGCGAGATGCTTTGTGCACCGGGCTGCCTTTTTTTTATTTTTTTTTGCTATCAGTATGTTAAACATGTTATAGCAAGTTACTGCCTTAAGATCTCTAATCACACTTATTACTGACATTGTCTTTAGTTATCTTTTAAGTGACCTGAATTTCGCAATTGTCACTTGCATGTAACAGGTTACACTATTGACAGTGCACTGTGCTGGTTGCCTCTACTATTTGCTAGCTGACAGATATCCACACCAAGGAGATACTTGGTTAGGAGCTATGAATCCAAATTACAAGGAGACAAGTCTTCTTATTAGGTACATTGCAGCTTTATATTGGTCTATTACTACCATGACAACAGTTGGCTATGGTGATCTCCATGCTGTCAACACTTTGGAAATGGTTTTCATCATTTTCTACATGCTCTTCAATCTTGGCCTCACTGCTTATATTATTGGTAATATGACCAATTTAGTCGTTGAAGGAACTCGTCGTACCATGGAATTCGTAAGCTCTCAGTTTTTCTTTGCATTGTCAGTGTATATACATATGTTTCATCATTAGAGGTGGATCCAGTACTTTATATTTATGCATATATTAGACCGTGTATCCAATGTTTTTCAAATTCTGGATCTGCCTCTATCAGAATCATCACTAAATAAATGAGATGTGAGTGATTTCTTATGGTATGTTGCAGAGAAATAGCATCGAAGCTGCATCAAATTTCGTGTGTCGAAATAGGTTGCCTCCAAGATTGAAAGAGCAAATATTGGCTTATATGTGTTTAAGATTCAGGGCAGAGAGCCTAAACCAGCAGCAATTGATTGAACAACTTCCCAAGACAATCTGCAAAAGCATTAGGCACCATTTGTTTTTGCCAACAGTGGAGAAGGTTTATCTTTTCAAGGGTGTCTCAAGGGAAATTCTGTTACTTTTGGTAAGATATAACTTTTGTTTTTGAAAAATTGTTATATACTTTTTTTGTGGCCTAACTGTTGAATATGCAGGTTGCAGATATGAAGGCTGAGTACATACCCCCAAGAGAGGATGTAATAATGCAAAACGAATCGCCAGATGAGGTATACATCATAGTGTCAGGGGAGGTGGAAATGATTGAGTGTGAGATGGAAAATGAGCAGGTTGTTTGGACATTCAAATCTGGAGATATGTTAGGAGAAGTTGGGGCATTTTGTTGTAGGCCTCAGAGCTACACGTATCGAACCAAGACACTTTCACAACTCTTGAAGATAAGAACAACTTCTTTGATTGAAGCAATGAAAACTAGACAAGAAGATAATATCATAATGATCAAGAACTTCCTTCAGGTTAGTGTAAATACTAAATACCCTGTGATCTTCCCAACGGCCGATTTAGAGCTGAATCCTAATATTGTACCTATGGTATGGTAATTGCAGCATCACAAGAAGCTCAGGGATTTAAAGCTTGGAGATTTATTTCATGAAGTTGGGGCAGAAAATGGTGATCCAAACATGTCTGTTAATTTGCTAACTGTTGCTAGTACAGGTAATGCTACTTTTCTTGAGGAACTTCTCAAGGCAAGATTAGATCCTGATATCGGAGACGCCCAAGGAAGAACTCCACTGGTATGTTCCCTCATGGCCTACATGTACTCGAAAAAGAAGATTTTGTGTTCAGTTTACCTGTTTTTTGCTGCCAATAACATTAGTTTCTCCTTCACAGTTTATGACTTTGTATTTCTCTTTCTGATGCATTAGCACATAGCAGCATCGAAAGGGCACGAAGAGTGTGTAATGGTTCTTCTTAGACATGGATGTAACATACACCTCCGAGGTAAGTCATCCTCGATATATACTATTGTAAACTTCAACAAGCTAGAATGTTTGACAAGGCTAGTTGTTGGCTAAGTAATGTCTTGAAAATACCATAAAATGCAGATGTAAATGGTAACACCGCGTTGTGGGAAGCTATAGCAGAAAAACAACATCCAACATTTCGGATATTATACCATTGGGCTTCTGTCTCCGATCCCTATGTTGCTGGTGAACTCTTATGCACAGCAGCTAAGAGAAATGACTTAACAGTGATGAAAGAACTCCTAAAACATGGATTAATAGTTGACTCAAAAGATCGCCACGGATCAACTGCTATCCATGTTGCATTGGAAGAAAATCATGAAGACATGGTAAAGCTACTTCTAATGAATGGAGCCGAGATTAATGATAAATTTAAGCACAAGCTTTCTTCGATGAACCTAAGCGAGATGCTGCAAAAACGAGAAGTAGGGCACAGGGTTATAGTCTCCGACACAATGGATGAAGTTGCTCAAAAGTGGCGCGAACAAGAGCAGAAGTACAACTCGGGAAGTACTAGGGATCAATCATCTTTTAGAGTTAGCATATACAAAGGCCATCCTGTGATCAGAAAAAGAACTCATTGCAGTGAACCTGGGAAATTAATTATTCTTCCAAATTCACTTGCAGAGCTCAAGATCATTGCAGGTACTTCTGCAATGAACTATACTACTTACTACTATGCAGTTTTTCGATCATTTAAACCTAAGTACATCATCATACATGTGATAAAATGCTAAACAGATTAGTCATTGGTGATCTGTGTGTTGTACAGGTCAGAAATTTGGATTTGATGCAACAAATGCATTGGTGACAGATCAAGAAGGATCAGAAATTGACTCTATTGAAGTGATAAGAGATAATGATAAGCTATTTATAGTTGAAGATCCAAAATGCTTGTAGCAATACCTATTGTGACACTTAAAAGTGTCTTGTTCACATGCAAAACTTGGATCTCAGAGATATTCAACCCCTTCCCCATTTGTGTGGCATGTTGAGCCACTAAGTTATTACAGTGGACAATCTACAGATGGGATCAAAAGGTTGATATTATGTGTGTTGGGCCATGAAATGAAATACTTTGGTTGGTGACAAACTGAAAAATACCTTAGTGGATTTGATGGATCTGAGTGCCAACCTTGACCTGATATAACCCCACAATCCACATACTAAAAGTTAAGGATGATAAGGAAACTTAGTACTACTACTTCCTTCTATTCAAATGTCAATCACTGGATTCTGAAAATCTTTTAGATTTTGTGTCAACGCACTTCCTATCCTTGCCAGTGCTATGTATCAGTTAACAAGAGAACTATGTCTTAATCTAGACAAAGTTAAATTAATAAAACTAATGATAGCAACTTATAAATCTTAAAGTTCTTGGGGCCCCTTCTTGCAAATTGGTTATGAGTTATGACTCAATAGTGATCTCAACAAAGTTTTCTGAAAGATGTCATCACATTTGAAACACTTCTCAAGGAGCAGAACACTGAAAAATAAACTACTGAACTGAATTAAGATAGAATAAACTATAATTAACATAAACTAATTGACTGTGAAGATTCTGAAATTCTCCTTTAAACAAACCTACTAACGTGTACGGATAAAGTACCATTAATGAATACTCCTACAACACAACTGATAAATTTCATCAATATGCATATAAAATATTGTAAGCCAACCATACTCTAGAATTACTTAAATTGGCAAAATTGATCTTATTTGTTTACTTTCTTTTTTACAGGATTAAGACCTTCGGAACCAACATGTATCCTCTAATCTCTATTTGAGCTAATTTAGTTCTAACACAAAACAGAATTGTCTTCTAAGAAAAATTAAGGGTTCACTAATGATGGAGATTTTCTAAATTCCATACTTATTCTTATTCTTATATTGACATTTACAGATTAAGGGACTCTTTACAAACACCAGACGTAAAGTAAGGTTAATAACAAACAACTAATTAAGTTGTAATTCCAACTAGTTGGTATCACCTAGACGAGTTTATTCGCTAGCTTCCATTGTGTTCGTATTATGCCCTTTTAAAAAGATTAATTATTGTTATTATAAATACGTAAGAATATAAAATCGCTGTACTATTCATCGTGTAATAAATGTTTGTCCTGTATTTTTTAGTAGTAGAACTTTTTACAAATTACCACCCCTCGTCGCCCAGGAACCAGCGAATGTTTTCGGATCTTGAAAACATTTGTGTGTGGATCATATTATTATTCCGACTCCATGTGAAGAAACAAATTCTTGAAATCCCATTTTGTGTGTGGTGTTACAAGACGTTTGATATAACAAGTCGAAATCTTCCTTATGCATTAAGTTTTAGCCATCCTTATTTCCCATTAAAAGGTAAAGATGGAGCCTTCTATGCAGGAGCTTTTTTCTTATAAAAACGAAAATTACCCTTCACAGTAAATCAAAAGGTGATGTTTTTAGTCACTAGGCTCACCTGTAATGAACTTACAGCTTGTTTGGATGGTTGTTACCCATCGTTTTATAATGTATAGTATTGTGTTGTATTAAATAACATTTTGCTGTTTGGTTTGACTGTATCGTACTGTACTGTAACTGATAGATTTACTAAAATACTCTCAATTGTTTAAATATTAAATTTATCAATAATTACGCATAAAAATAATTTAAGAAAACCTCTTTCTACTAATTTATCACCAAATATGTCTTAAAAATAGATTAGGCAATTAAATTCATGCAAATTCTAACAAAATTAGCAATTTTAGGTTGGAGTTGGAAGCGGCAGAAGTTCTGAAAAAAAAGGGACGAAGACAAAGTAGGTTATAGGTAGGAGATTTGGAGTTAAATTTTTTTAAAAAAAAAAGGTAAACGGTAAAATAGAATTATGGAGTAATAAGTTAGGGCATAATTGGAAAGAAAAATAAGAAACAATCCCACCACACCAAATCAGTTGTTTCAAAAAATGGGACTTTTCATTGTTCCGCAAAAATGAATTTAACAATACAATACAACCAATTTTAATAAAACAATCAAAACAAATATTGTTTGGAGATAACAATACAATACGATACAATGAGTAACAACCATCCAAACAAGCTGTTAGTCACAAGCGTACGTCAAAACTAGGTTACGGTGGCAAACTAAGTTGACATTAGATCTACTTTACATCGATATCTTTCTGCTATAATTTGTGATGATACTCGCAAGTTATCTTTAGGACAAATACTCTCTTCAGATACACCTTGCCAAGTTGAATACAGTAAACTACTCAAACAAATAGAGATAAAGGAAGAAAAGAAAAAGACAACAAAAACTTACTACTAGAAGAGAGTAGTGTTGTTAACTTGGAGATTAACCAGTTATGGCGGAAAGAAAAGAAGAAAACCTTAGATAGGGTGATGAGTGAGAAGAGAGATAAATGAGTCGGTCAAAACAAAGACTAGACCCCTTGATTTATTATTCGTCTATTTATTTACAGAAACGTGAGTATATATATTTACAACAATAAAATTTGTAAAGAATAGTAAGAAAGACAAAAATACAATTGGGCCGAGTAACCTATTACTACTGGGATTACCCCTTTCCTTTAACATAAATAGCTGGGTCCATATCTAGGCTAGTCCAGAATTCAAATACTCACGAACATAATGGCAATCAATCTCAATATGCTTCGTACGCTCATGGAAAATTGAATTTTTGGCAATGTGAAGAGCAGCTTGGCTATCACAATGGTGAATGGACTAGGACATGAGTGAAAATAGTAAGACCAAGATCCCGAAGCAGTCTGATCAACCATGAGATTTCAGTAGCTACTTTCCTTAGAGCCCTTCAGCCTCAGCTGAAGACAAAGAAATGGTGGGATATTTCTTACTTTTCCAAGAAACTGGGCTCCCACCAAGTGTCACATAATACCCAGTAACAGATTTGCAAAATATAGCACAAGAAGCCCAATCAGAATCATAATAGGCCACAAGAGACAAGTCAGAAGAGCTGAAGAGAAACACACCCTGAGAAGGAGCAATAAACAAATATCTGAGAACATGTAGGCCAACCGTGAGGAACATGAGGTTTATGAAGAAACTGGCTCAAGAACTGGACAGAAAAAGATATATCTGGTCTAGTGTGCTGTAAAAAATTGAGTTTGCCAATAAGCCTCCTGTACAGACTTTAATCAGGGAGAAGATCACCCATGTCTAGGGTCAGCTTAACAGAAGGGTCCAGAGGAGTCACAACAGAGGAGAAATGATGGCAGTTGAACTCAGCTAGAAGATCAGTAGTGTATTTATGTTGACTCATGACATAACCCTGAGGAGTTTTGTTGATTTTCAGACCCAAGAAATAATGGACTAAACCCAAATCCTTAATCTTGAACTGGTCATCCAAAAATGACTTCAGGGAGTTCATTCCAGCAAGATCATCTCCAACCAATAATATTTCATCAACATAGACAACCAATACTGCCAAAGAACCAGATGGGGATTTGGTGAAGAGAGAGTAATCATTGAGATTGGAAATGTAGCCCCTTGACAGCAAAGTCTCAGACAGTTTTGAAAACCACTTCCTGGAGGCTTGCCTGAGGCCATAAAGAGATTTCTTGAGCTTACAGACCAGAAGAGCCGAAGAAGAAGCAGATGAGACATCAAGACCAGGAGGAATTTTCATATAGACCTCCTCATGGAGATCACCATGGAGGAAGGCATTGTTAACATCCAACTAGTACACAATCCAATCTCTCTTGATGGCAAGAGTTAAGAGACATTTGATTGTGGTGAGCTTGATAACAGGAGAGAAAGTTTCAGTAAAATCAATACCTTCTCTCTGAGTATCACCTCTAATAACTAACCTTGCCTTGTATATTTCAATAGACCTATCTTCCCTATGCTTAATCTTATAAACCCATTTTCAAGGAATAACCTTTTTATTAGAGGGAAGAGGGACAATGTCCCAATTCTGATTAGCCTCAAAAGCATGAAATTCTTTTAGCATGACCTTTTGCCAAGCAGGATGAGTTGCAACCTATTGGTAGAACTGAGGTTCATGCATATGAGCTTCACTAGGTATGACCTTAGAGTGTGCAGAATTAGGAGAAGAGGAGATAACAGATGTACATATATAATTCTTAAGATAAGAAGGTTGAATGACAGTTCTAGTGGACTTTCTTAAGAGAGAAAGATCAGAAGTAGTTAGAGTGGAATTAGGAGAGGTAGAAGTAGAAACATGGGAGACAACAGAAGGAGAAGATGAAGGGAGATGATTAAAGGTAGGAAACGGTTCAGGATGACTATTACGAGGAGTAGCTACAGGAGTAGTAAGAGCTGGAATATCTACAAAAGTGGGAGGTAAAACATTAAAATGAGGAGAATTAGAGAAAGAAGAATAGGCAAAAATATGTTCATGGAATACCACATCTCTAGAATGAAAAACAGAAGAGTTAGATAAGTTGAGCAATTTGTAACCTTTCTTCCCACATGGATATCCTAAGAATATACAAGCAATAACTTTAGATTGGAACTTATCCCTGCCTACCTTAGGGGAAGTACCAAAGCAGAGACAACCAAATAATCTTAAGTGGTCATAGGAGGGTGGATGTCCATGAAGATTTTCAAAAGGGGAAAGTTTGAGACGAAGTGGTGAAGGCATTCTATTGATAAGGTAGGTAGCAGTCAATACACATTTCCTCCTAAAATTTCAGTGGTAGTTTAGATTGAAAAAGTAGGGCTCTTGAAACTTCTAAAAGATGTTTGTGTTTTCTCTCCACAAATTGTGGAGTATGGGGGATAGAAGTTTGATGTAAAATTCCTTGGGAAGAAAAGAAACTGATGGCTTCAGAATTGCTTCCAAGTTCAAAGGCATTATCTAATTTAAAAGTGTATTGAGGAGTTGAAGTGAACCTTTACTATAGAGGTGAAAGCTTTAAGGATGGACAAAGTATTACTCTTTGAAGAAATAAGATGAGTCCAAGTGACTCTAGTAAAATCATCAACCAAAGTTAGAAAATACCTAAATCCATTATAAGTTTTAGGGTTATAAGGACCTCAAATATCAATGTGAACTAGTTGAAAAGGTGTGGTAGAATGAATAGTGCTATCATGAAAAGGTAGTCTTTGTTGTCTAGCCATTGGATAAATTGAATATATAAAAGGTTGTTTAGTGGATACCTTGTTAGATAGAAAGAAAATATATTGCATCTTATGAAAAGGCATGTGACCTAATATCAGATGCCAAAGTAGATCCATCTTAGTAATAATTGAAGTTTGATTACAACTAGGTGGAACATTTAC